TATGATGTCTATTTTTTCGGATATGATTGAGGACACTATGGAAGTTTTTATGGATGATTTTTCAGTTATTGGCACTAATTTCGAAAACTGTCTTGAAATTTTGAGGAAGAGTTTGGAGAGATGTGAGACCCATGACTTGATTTTAAATTAGGAAAAATGTCATTTTATGGTACAAGAGGGAATTGTTTTGGGTCACATGATTTCAAAGAAAGGATTGGAAGTTGACAAAGCTAAAATTGAGGTGATAATGCAATTTCCCGAATCTACTTCGGTCAAAGGCATTCGTAGCTTTTTGGGACATGCGGGTTTTTACCGACGGTTTATTAAGGATTTTTCGAAAATTGCAAAACCCTTATGTAACTTGTTGCATGTTGACCAAGCTTTTGAGTTCACCTCCGATTGAAAAAAGGCTTTTGAAACAATCAAGAATGCTCTTGTCTCGGCACCCATTATTATCACTCCTGATTGGTTCCTACCTTTTGAGGTAATGTGTGACGCAAGTGATTGGGCCGTGGGTGCCCTTTTTGGGACAAAGGAAAAATAAAATCTTTCACCCCATTTACTACGCAAGTAAGACTCTCATTGAAGCTCAATTAAATTATACCACCACGGAAAAAGAATTACTTGCGGTAGTATTTGCTTTTGATCGTTTCCGTTCATACTTGATTGGTACAAAAGTCACCGTTCATATAGATCATTCTGCAATAAAGTATTTATTTAACAAAGTTGATGCAAAACCACGACTTATTAGATGGATTCTTTTATTGCAAGAATTTGATCTTCATATTGTTGACCGCAAGGGATGTGACAATCAGGTGGCCGATCACCTTTCTAGAATTGAAGGAAATGTGTCAAGTGGGGGGAGTCATGCAATTAAGGAAGTTTTCCCGGATGAATATGTTTTGGCCATACAACACAATTTTCAAAAACAAAATCCRTGGTACGCGGATATTGCCAACTATCTTGCATGTGGCCTTAAACCATATCATTTTCAGGGAAATCGGTTTAAAAAATTTCTTCACGATTGCAAACATTATTTGTGGGACGATCCATCCCTTTTTAAATTGGGATCGGATCAAATTTTGAGAAAATGTGTCCCGGATGATGAAATCCAAGCTTTGTTAAAGGAATGTCACGCATCACCGTACGGAGGCCACTTTGGTGGACAACGTACGGCCGCTAAAATTTTACAAAGCGAATTTTTTTGGCCTTCCATATTTAAAGATGCTTTTGAATTTGTGAAGAGTTGTGATCAATGCCAACGCATGGGGAATTTGTCCCAAAGAAACGAGATGCCCTTGAACAATATTTTGGAAATCGAACTTTTCGATGTTTGGGGCATTGACTTTATGGGACCATTTCCCATGTCTTTTCATAATCAATACATTTTGGTTGCGGTAGACTATGTCTCCAAATGAATAGAAGCAAAGGCTTGCCCAAGAAATGATGCCAAAACAGTAGTGGAATTTTTGCATAAAAACATTTTTGTTCGTTTTGGAACACCCCGAGCATTGATAAGCGATGAAGGGACTCATTTCATAAACAAAATGTTAAGTACCACTCTTGAGAAGTACAACATCTGACATAAAGTAGCCACGGCTTACCACCCACAAACCAATGGTCTTGCGGAACTTTCAAATCGTCAGATAAAAAATATTTTAGAAAAGGTGGTTAAGCCAAATCGTAAAGATTGGTCGCTTAAATTGGATGATGCACTTTGGGCCTACCGTACCGCTTTTAAGACTCCATTAGGCATGTCTCCGTACCAACTTGTTTTTGGAAAATCTTGTCACCTTCCGTTAGAGTTAGAATATAAGGCATTTTGGGCTATTAAGGAGCTTAATCTAGATGCAACTCTAGCGGGAGAGAAAAGAAAGCTCCAACTCAATGAGTTGGAAGAGTGGAGGTACCGAGCCTACGAAAATGCCAAAATTTACAAAAAAACGAAAATGTGGCATGATCGTAGGATCAATCAAAGAATTTTTGAAAAAGGTCAAAGAGTGCTCCTTTTTAATTCTAGGTTGAGGCTTTTCCCCGGGAAACTCAAATCTAGATGGTCGGGACCTTTTACTATTGTTGAAGTGAGAAAGTTTGGAACTATCGATCTCTTAAACCCACAAGACAATACGGTTTTTAGAGTAAATGGGCATCGGGTCAAGCATTTCTTCCCGGAAGGAATGCAAGATCCAAGCCAAAAATCTCTCTGAAAGATTGTCGAACCTCCTGTTGTAAATAGTGTAAATAATTTTAATTATCGTACTTTTTGTTTATTTCATGCAGGTATGCTCACAGTAGGCATCTCGTGCTCATATTCGGCAGTGGGTTTTGGTTTTTATTTTTAAATCTTGGAGGGTTTTTGTGGAACCTTCCAAAGAAAAAGAAAAAGGGAACTCAAGAAAAGAAATGAGGTTATTTTTGAAAAAGAGTGATGATGGTTTTTCTGAAAATGGAGGCTTATGTAAGAGAAATGACTGTACCATGTCATCATTTCTTTCAAATCAATTGTACTCCCAAAGACTTTGCACGCAAAAGTGGGTGGTTTCCTATGCTTTACCCAGCGGTTATCTATGAAAAGGGGGGGGGGGAATTTCATTTTTTGTCTTGACTACTCAAACTCCTCCTCCCCTTTCATGGCACGAACACGCAATAACCCCACCGGCCGGCCACCTTACCGACCGCCTACTCGATGAACCACCCGGCGGACTGTCGCCGGCGATACACTGACCACCACTCGCGCACCATCAACCACCCCGTCAATGCCCTACTCTGCGCCTCTCTCACCGGACCCCATAGCATTTGCTCCTCCGGCAAGACGTTCATCCACCACCGGTGCCGGTCGTTCAGCATCTGTGAGGGTCGATTATGATGAATGTCACGCGTGGTCACTCCGGTAAGCAACGTTCGAACCCCTCCCCTTTTTACCACTGTTTTCACACAATCCACCATTCTTCACACCACCACCACCATTGGCGCCGGTCCGTCTTCTACACGACCGCCGGCCGCTACGCCTCTTCCCACACCAAAACCCCTTTTCCTAGCCCTAACCGTCCCACCCCCAATCACCCCTCTATCTAACCCCATCCCACCACCGATTAACCCTACCACCACTCAACAGCCTCCTATTCCCCTTCCCTCACCACCACTCGGCCCACCCACCATACATGATTTTGACCTAAACCTTAGTGACATTATAGGGGAGGAGTTACAGTTTGATTTTGAAACCAATGCCTCTAGCAATCCTGAGGATTTATTCCCTTTTTCTGTTTCTGAGTCATTGGAAGAACCTACACAACAACCCCCTCCGACTCAAACAGAGCCTGAACTTCCTGTTACGGAACCACCAGTTACTGCCCCCAGTGGGCAGACTGTGAGCACAGAAACCTCCTCTGGAAGTTTTGGGAGTGCAAGTTCCGAATCTGTTATTCCTCAAACATTACACAAACCAGTGCCTGAAGACAGTGACTATGAGGAAGAGATGGCCCAGGACTACATGCTGAAGATGTGGCCGAGGAAGAGGCGGAGCAAGAGGAAAGGGAAGATTTTGAAGAAGAGATTCCTGATGAGGAGGTTTTGGAGGTCAGTGTGCCGAAACCTTCGAAGAAGAGAAAGGCAGCGGCAAAGCCGAAGAAACAGCCAGCCCCAAGAAAAAAGAAAGAAAAGGTGATGCCATTCCAAGAAAGGTACAACCGTATCCTAAACAATAAAATGCTTTTAGAACGAGCTTTTGACCCGCGGTTGGTCAACAATTTTATGGCAATAAGGCACCATTTGGTGGCTTTGCGGTGGGACACTTGGTGATTGCCCCTTTATAGGCTAACGTAACTTGGGTCACCGAGTTGTACGCTGCTGTTGGCACTACAAGGAGCATTTCGGTAAAAATTCAGGGCAAGAAAGTAGATTGGTCGGGGCCCAAGATTAATGCGGCCCTTGGACTCACCCCACCGCCGGAATGCTCATTTTCACAAATTGTGAAAGGGACCCGTGAAGTACCCGATGCTGATATCGCTTCTATCCTTACACTCCCTGATCGGGGATGGTCAAAGGACAACCGGCGACAAATGACTTTTGCCGCCCATTTGAACACGGAAGCAGGCCTTTGGTTTCAGTTTTTAAGGCACAATTTAATTCCTACTGTGCATGATAGTACCATTTCGAGGGACCGATGCGTCCTCCTCTATTGCATAATGAGCGAGTTGCCGATCGACCTTGGGCCGATCATCCATGCATCCATTTTGGCAGCTTCTCAGAGGACGCATTCTCGCCTGGTCTGTCCGGCCCTTATCACCAAGCTCTTGGCCAAGGCTAAGGTCCCTACCTTTGAGGATGATACAATTGTTGTCGGCTCTCCCTTGTTGGGACAGAACACACTCGACCGACGACATAGAGCCTCTCGGCCCTATTTCAATGTGCATAATTTAGGCCCGGCCACGAGTGCTGCAGAAGAGCCTGTGGCGCCATCAACCGTTCAACCACATACGCCACAGGTCATTCTTTCTGAGCCACAGGTTGCTGTTGTCTCCGAGCCACCTGTTGTTGTCACCGAGCCACCTGCCGTGCACATGTCCGAGCCTCCTGTTGTCCCAATGACCGAGCCCGATGCGGAAATACCAAGATACGGCAATGATGAGGCCAGCCCATCCGAGCTACCTCCAAGCAATCCTTTAGGCTCGGGGTATGGGTCGGCCACATGGCTGTCCGTTTTGGCACTTCAATGGGAAGAAACTAATCAAAAGCTGGAAGCGATATTAAAGAAGGTTGGAAGCATTGATGACCGAGTCTCCGATCTCGAAAAAAAGAGTGCTCGTTTTTGGGCATACACTAGAGATTGGAACCGGGAGGAAAGACAGCTTTACGGAAGTCAGGATACCCTCTTGATGGCCTAACTTCTACGGTTCCCCAGCGGTCTTTGCCCTCCTCAAGTCCGGTGCTTCCCACCCTTGCAAGCCCACTTGCCGGTTACGTCCGTTGTTGCTGCGCCCTTTGCTCCTGTTCCTCACATTCATGTTCCTGCTATGTTGCCTACCACGACTGCGATCGTTCCTGCTGTTGATGTTTCCATTGCGGCTCCCATTGTCCACAGCTCCGAGGCGGCAGATGCAGCCACTGTTTACCCACAGTAAGCAGTTTGGCAGAAAATGGTTAAATTCTCAACTTTTGATCCAACCTCTTTGAACATTATTTTTGGATATATCTTTTGGGTACTGATACACTTTCATTCCGTCTTTTGTGTATGCTTTGCGGAATGTCATTTTTTTTTGTGTAGATATTTATGACATGGGTGTTGGATTTCATTTTCTTTTGTCTAGTCCCCTTATTCATTTCAGGTACAAGCTCCTTGAATGATTTTTCGTAGTGCTAAAAGTTAAAAGGATGTAGGCCCTCCTTTTGTTTTTTAAACCCAAACACTTTTCCCTTTGCACCCAACCCATGCCGTTTTGGTCCCTTTGGCAACAATGGGGACATTGTCATTATTAAGTTTGGGGGGATGTGTTCAAAGAGAAAAAAATATACCTTCGAAAATTGGGAGGTATGGAAAAAAAATATCGAGAAAAGAAAAAAAAAAGAATCGGTCTTCAGAAAATTGGAAGACGAAAATAAAAAGCCCGGTATTCCAAAGGGCAAGTTTATGCCAAGATATGGGTCACGAACTTTTTCTAAATACTCAAAAGTGAATCGATGAAAACTTATGTTTCAAACCCTTTTGTAGTATAGGATAAGTTTGGGGGAGGGATACACACTATCATTGAAACACTAACCCAAAAGTCCTACTGATTAACGGCAACACTACGAAGATCAAGCAAGGTAGTTGTACATCCTCTTTACTAGACGAATTTCCAACACCTTCCGTAAGTGTTTCGTTCTTGTTCCTTTCTTTTTATGTCATTTTAATTATTTTTCTTTTACTTGAGGACAACTAATACCTCAAGTTTGGGGGTGTGATAACTCTCATTTTGTGAGAGTTATTTGTTGTTCAATACCCCTATTTTATTGTATCTTTGGTACCCATTTTGCTCCTATCTACTATTTTTGGTCCAAAATATGTTAAGAGGTGATGAAAGGTCAAAAATTTAATTATTTTCTAAAAAACCCATTACTTTTGGTAAATTGCCCACTTTCTGCTCATAATCATTTTATGGTGGATTTGCATCTAGCTGGATTTGAACAAAATTATGATATTCATGTTTTTGGATATTAATGAGAGTTAATTCTAAGTTCAGATCTAAGCATTAAGTTACTTGGAGGAATGGACCTGGTTAAAGCTAATAAAGACAAGGAAAGTACACCTACTTTTATTATGATGGAAAAGCCTTCTTTTCATAATTAATGGGAGTACTTTCACCTTTTGCAACCTTTCAAGAAGAAGTGACAAGACCAGAGATTGAAGTAGACTTGTGATGATGGGTGGTCTTTACCCTTTGGACAATGCAGATTTTTATCCATTGGACAAAGAGTATCCGGGTCCCACCTTTCTCCTATATATTTAAAGGCTTTCTCTCATGCTAATCATCGAATTTCCACTAGCAACTTAGCCAAGCAACCTTGGAGTAATATCTTAAGCTTTGTAGCAGTAGAACTAGTTTAATTTCAGTTTGTAATTTAATTTTCGTAGTTCATCTTTTATTCTCGCCACTGTGTATTGTGTGCCCTTTGTGGGCAGCAGTAAGTATTTTATTTTCAGTTCAAGTATTTCTTATGCATTCTTCTTCTTTTATTTATGTTATGTTTTCTAATTTCATTATGAGCTAAGCACCCCTTTGGGTGTGGGTGTGAGTCCAGCTTAAGKATTTAAGGGCACACTTGGGTGTTGCCATTTTTTATTGATTCTTAAGCTTGGTCATTTAAGTCGGGACTTAACCTCAACGCAGATGCGCGGATATGAAATACGGCTTAGATGATGCACAAAGATTCGAGAGAGTCTTTGATAATCACGCAGAGATGCGGGTTTTGCATGTTTTTAGCTTTTGTTTAGATATTAGTCGATTTATGCTACAATACGTTGTGAGTATAAATCTTCAGACTAGTGAACCAGATATCTTTTTATCTAGTAGCTAATTCGGCAAGTTTAAGATTGATAAATCTGGACGCTTTGTGGGTACTCTGTGGGCACAGTATATAAGAATTCACTTTCRAGAGAAAGGAGTTCTTATAGAAATCCCATGGGTTTCTGACCAAGTCGTTCCTGCAATATTCTTAAGCAAAGCTTACA